GACGCGCCCAACGCTCCTTATCCTTAGCTTCTCTTGACTGTTCGTCCTCATCGCCGGCTGGCTCGGTAGCAGCGCTCGGTGAGTCGTAACCCCCTGGTGTCGAGGGTGCCGCAGCGCCCCTCCGGACCGGCGTTGAAGGCACCGAGGCACCTCTATTATGCCACGTGGACCTGTTCTTCGGCCGGTCCTCGAGCGCTCCGCGAAGGTAAGCGTCATTCTTCAGTACCTGCGTCAGCAACTTCCAAGCCGCCAAGGTCGTGTCTGAGCCGGGCTTCGCGCTGCCTAGACGTTGCGCCACAGGATTTTTCCAAGGGCAGAAGAAACGGTGCTCCTTGACTGGATCAAGATGATCCATTGGCGCGGGAACGAGAATCTCGCCGTCGGCGCTGACCTCCTTACTCTTGAACATCCAAAGGCCCAGACGTCGCAAGCATGTGTGGCAGGATGCCGAATTTGGCACCGCACCGATGCGGGGATTCGTGAGACCCTGCCACCCCATCATTGCCAACGCCAAAGCGACTCTGTTTGGCTCCTTTGGATCCGGAGAGTCCTTGGTCGGCGGTGGGCTTGTGAAGAAGTCTTCCGGCAGCTGGACGAGGACGCTGTCGATGTTGAGACCCTCGGGCAACCTCAAGTTGAATTCGTAGGGAAGGAAGGGTTTCCTTGCACAGAGCTCGTCGTAACGTGTCCGCAAAGCCTCCATACTTATTTTGGCATTGGTTAAAGACAGCCGGAGCAACGAATCTGGGAAAGTTAGGTCTTAGTTCCGTCAATAGGGTCTGTAGATACTTACTATCACACCCCTGTTTTCTCCATAAACATTCCTCCAGATGTGCCGTGACAATAAGATCGGAGTATCTTTCTATTAACGCTTCCTCTGCTTCACCAATCAGTTCTAAGTAGCAACGAGGACTGGCAACCATGAACCTACCGACGTCCGATGCCACAAGGACAGGTACCTCCTTGCCATCAACTTCGCGTTTGTTGAGCTTCACAACGAGCTCCTTATTGCAGAGCGAACACCGTACACGGTCCTTCCCCTGGCATACCCATCCTCGCTTTGCCCATTCAACTTCGTTCACTGCATCGGGTTTCGGTGTCCAGTCTGTAATCTCCTGGAACGATGCTAGTCTCTTCAGGAGCTCGTTTCGGTCGCTGGGTGCAAACTTTGGGGCGTGCTTGATTTCCGTCACGTTGGCAGACCTTGGAACCCACTTCTTCAGAGATACGTTCGAGAAGGTTGTCGTCGCACCTGCCCCGGTAGCACGAATTGAAGGAGAGCTGTTGATCGTAGCGGCGTTCTTCTCGGTCAGTGCTTGCAGGCGCCGACGCTTCAACAAGATATCCTCTTCAATCGACATGCTCGGTTTTACAGAGGTATCGGCCGTTGTGTTCGTGTTTGTAGAATTCGTGTTGGAGGGCTGGAGGGAAGTCGTCGACGGACGAGGGGATTCGGAAGGCAAGCTCGTGGTGTCGTTCGATTTTGTAGAAGCGGATGATCTACCCATACCCTGGATGAGGGCGTTGAACTTTCGTTTGGTAGCATTCATTGTCGCTGCGTGTTTCGATGAAACCGGGGTGGTGGATGTAAGGAAAGATGTCTGATCTGACCTGGCCCCAGGCGCGTAGATCAAAAGACCAGGAGGAAGACGACGACGGACAAGGTCGGTCGGTTTGGGTTCTTGTGAAAGCTCGGGTTTGGTTGTTTAGAGAGGCTGTCACTCAGAGTCCTTCGTCATTTGCGGTATACTGCACCATTAGATGGATTTCCCAGGAAGAGGATGGCGCTCGGTCGCTAGTCGAAGCCTAGACGCCCAGCTTTGCGAAAGTCAACAAACGGCCAGTCGCTGATCGGGCAATGAGCTGGCCACCCCTGTCGCGTGGATGCAAGCGCTAAGGTACGAGGCGTGGCAACGGGTTACCACTGGCGTACCTCAAAATACGGATAAATGCATAGACCAGCTTCATGTATATCGACTGATAAGATAAGAACTTTTCGCAACGGAAGTAAGAGGTCGGGAAGAATGAAAAAAGTTGCGAGCAGGGATCCCGGCACTAAAATTTTGGAGACACCGATCCGCCGGCGCAGAGATCCCACAGAAATTTTCCCAGGTGAGGGAAGACCCAGGACGATTCCATTCTCACCGAGGAATTTGCGACTCGCCGGCTCTTTCCCCCTCCACTTACCTTGTCTTCTTCTTGCCCATTGCGACGGATAAGAGCCATCTTCTGGCACAATACACATGTCTGCGCCTCCATCTTGGCTATTCTCCAACAACTTCACGAAATCCAATAACGCAAGCACCCCTACGGCTTCCGCGACAACGCAACCAGACAAAATGGCCAAGGTCAAGAAGTCCGAGAAGAAGGTCAAGGCTGAAGCCACCTCCACCAAGCAGGCTCCTCCCGCCCAATTGATGGACCTCGTCGACTCCTTCCTCTCCGAGAACGCCTTCACCTCCGCCCACGAGGCCTTCCAGAAACAGCGCGCCAAGAGCGGCTGGAAGCCTTCCAAGAAGGAGGCGGCCCAGACCAGCCTCGTCACCGTCTTCCAGACCTGGCAGACTTCTTCCACCGCTCCCACCACTAGCGAGAGCTCTAGCGACAGCAGCTCGAGCGAGGATGTGGACATGGCCGATGCGGCTGCTGCCGCCGACAGCGACAGCGATAGCAGCTCCAGCTCCAGCTCCAGCTCCAGCTCCGATTCCGACTCCAGCAGCGACAGCGAGAGCGAGGATGAGAAGCCCAAGCCCGAGGCCAAGCAGAGCCTGAAGCGCAAGGCGCCCGAGTCCGACAGCAGCAGCAGTGATAGCAGCAGCAGCAGCGACAGCGACTCCTCCTCAGACGACTCCAGCTCTGAAGACGAGGCCCCCAAGGCCAAGAAGCAGAGGGTCAAGAAGGACGACAGCAGCTCCTCCTCCGACTCCTCATCCGATTCCAGCTCGGACAGCTCCAGCGAATCAGACTCCTCCTCCGACTCAGACTCTTCCGACAGCGACAGCGACTCTGACTCTGACTCTGATGGCTCTGAGGCCGCAAAGGTGCCCCTTCCCGAATCTGGCTCCGACTCCGACTCCTCTTCTTCCTCTTCCGATTCGGACTCCGACTCAGACGCAGACACCAAGAAGAAGGCCAAGAAGGAAAAGGCACCCACCGACAGCGCCTCCCTCTCCTCCGCAACCCTCGAGAAGACCTCCCCCGAGCTCAAGCCCGCGACCTCCACGGCCGCCGACCCGCCTCTGCCCCCCGACCCCATGACCTACCGCGCCAACAACCGCGGCGGCAAGAAGGAGAAGAAGGAGCCCAACAAGCCCTTCTCCCGCATCCCCGACGTCGTCTACGTCGACCCCCGCTTCGCCAGCAACGAGTACGTGCCCAACGACTACTCGCAGCGCGCCCACGAGGACCTCATCGTCACCAAGGGCAAGGGCTTCACCAAGGAGAAGAACAAGAAGAAGCGCGGCGCCTACCGCGGCGGCATGATTGACATTTCTAGCAAGAAGGGCATCAAGTTCGACTGAGGTTCGCTTTTTAGCTTTAGTTTCTTGACGACACATGCATATTCGGTTCTTGGAGTTTGGGATCCCGAAAAAAAGAAGCCAATTTTTGCGTTCTAGTTTTTCGTGGTGAAAGTAAAAAGGGGAGGGCCGGTTTGACTTTGGCATTGTGTTTATTAGTCTGCTTCAGAGAGCTTCAAAGCATGACGGCTGATTTTTCTTCGAGAGGATGGAAAAAGACCAGAGAGGGAAAGAAAGAGCTTGGTACGCGGCATAACCACTAGACTCGAGATCAGCTCCCGCGCAAACGTTTGCCGTGTAGATAGAAAAATCAAGACGTATATTTGACGTTCTTTTCATACCTCTTTCTTTACGGTATCCTGTGCTACTTATGCAAACAATCAGAGTGTCAGTGATCAATAAGTACCGAAAACCTGGAAGTACTTGACTGTGATGTACACCTCCAGGTACCGGATAACAGAGTTCTTTCTGACAGTCGTTGGACCGGTAAAAGTCCCCTCATACAGAATCAGGCTGAGATGTGCGACACAGAGGAGTTCCGGTGGCGCAGTAGGCTAAGATAGGTAAACGAGCAACAGGCTGCAGCTTGATCGATGGCGTGTACTCCGTGCCGTTTGTCCTCACCTCAATCTCAAATTGTTGGGGCCCGGACGGGACGGGACGGGACCTGACCTGGGCTCTGAGTTACCTATCCATCTCACCATTGCCTCCGTCAACCCTTGACAGCAGCTTCTGAAGGGCTCAAAGAGCTTGCTCGTTTCGGGAGGATCAAAGGGCAGGAGGGGTAAAGGTAGGACACGAGAGATATTGGGATGAGATGAGACGAGATGAGATGAACGAGTGGGGAATGGACCAAAAAGAAGAACTGGCCCGGAGCAAGGCTTCGCGGAGGAGAAGTCCCGGTGAAAGTTGGGTTCCGCGGCGGTCGATTTCTTGGCTGGGCGGAGGGGAGGGGGAGGGGGGAAGAGAGGAAGAGAAGGAGGGGGTATCATGTTGGCTGGCTGGTCCACTACCTATCAACTAACCTTAAAAATCCTAATTCTGGGCTGGCAGGCCCCGATCTGAGTGGAAGAGTGAGTTGATATCAATAAATGAAGACTCGGCCGAGATAATCTTTGCAAGTGAAGTGCTTGGACACACCTTTACATGGAAGAAACAAGTTGTGTGGCAAAATACATAATGGAAGAGAAAGAGGAACGGCCCGTCATCGCAGCTGACGCCAAGACTGTTACCATCCACGATGCGGCCCCCAACCTCGTATGAGTTACGCAATAGGCAGAAATCACACATCGAGTCACGTCGACTTGGTCCTTCATTCGTCAGTTTTGTTACAGGTCTGGTAGTGTCCTTTCGATCCTCATAAAGACATTCATCGTTAAATCTTCTAAAAAAATGAATAAAAAACTTTCCCGTATCTGTCCCATGGTATTTCCAGAACAGACCAAAGGAAAGCCGGGCATGTCGGTTGCTCCAGCCGAATTTCTACTCTGGAATCTCTAACGACAAATCCCTGAACTCTTCAAGAATCCATTCCAAGAATAGCTCCCAACGCTTCTCCCATTCCTTCCGCACACTCGCGAGCTCATCTTTTGACATGCAAGAGTGCTCTAGACTCCACTCAATGAGCTGTCGCCAGCCGTGCAAAGTCATGTCCGTCTTACCCACCATCGCTTGATAGAAATCATGTGAAAGAGTTGATCTGTGTGGTCTCTGGTTAGCTTCTTGCTGCCTTATGGCTTGATGCAAAACAGGAGAAAGGCATACCTGAATATTGTTCCGTTATCTGAGTTTAAAGTGCAGTGTACGTTGTTGGCGAGCAAGTTGTACATTGAGTGGCCCGTAATCCGGGGTGTGAGACCAAGCTCCTCGTTGGAGATTGGGCACACCTCAAGGCAGATACCACTTTTCTTCATGTGCTCCATGATATAGGGGTGCCTGGCCAGAGCAAATCCGTGGCCGATGCGCTTTGAGTTGAGCAAGAGCGCATCCACAAGATTGCCGTCCGTGTCGTTGCCAATGTCTGTCGTCTCTCCGCAATGAAAGAGAAACGGAATGTCAACTTTAGGCTGAGATTCCTCACATCTCTTCCGGAAGGCGAGAAATTCTGTAACGAAATGTCGCAGAGGATGACCTTGCGATTCTTCGCCAACCAGATCAAATCCTGTTTTGTCAGTTAGTTGTCTGCTCAAAGTATAGCGGCGTTCAAGGACTTACCAGCTATCCACTGGGGCCATTCCCTCTTGAATTCGAAACACTCGTCGAGCGCAAATGCAACCAGTTCCGTGGTAAAAGACCTAGGAGTGCAGTAGATGACCTTCAGCCCGCCAAAGTAGTCTTTGGTCTCCTTCTGAAAGTTGTCGTATTCTTCTATGATGATTTTCATGATACCCCTATTGTCGATTTGCCTCGTACCGTCATCAGTCCAGAGTTGATTTGTCTGCATGAAATTAGGCCGAATCTCGGCATACTGAATGTTGTCGCGGACGAAATCTTCAAGAATGCCCCGTGTGTATTTCCGGTAGGCACTCTCATAGTTGAAGAGCCCCTTCATCATGCGGGTCCGGCCGTTGAACTTCTCCCATGCTCCCTGAACTGTTTGAAGCGCGTTATGTGCCTCATCTTCGTGAAAGACAAGTTTGCTCGTTAGCCACTCCTCGGCCTTCATGCCGTTATAATGCTCGGGGAACTCTTTGATAAACTCTGAGTATTTCATCATTTGTCGGTGATGATAGTCGGTCTTGAAAAGGTTTCCCTTAACCTCGTCTTCCTTTTCGAGCGGCAAGATGGAAAACTGGATCTCACAACGGTGAAGGTTAGTCTTTGCCGCGCTCGGTGCCAACGACAGATCGCTTTTGATAAACATGCGGGGCATGGTCTCGGCAATGCCCAGCAATACATGAGGCTGTAAGCAGGCGTTGAAATGAATATGAAGGTGTGCTCCCTTTGGCATCTTGACGGCAACTCGGAATAGACTCGTTTGGTTGATTAGATCGACGTTGGATAGGAAATGGTCAGCAGCAAATCGCGCATGTTTCTGACCACCCCATCCTTGCCTCTTTTCAGCCGGTTCATACACGCTCTCATGGTCCTTGACCTTGAGTTTCTGAATGATGGCGTTGGCTTTCCGCTCCTTCTCTGATGCCCGCATCTTTGCGCTAAAATCAAAAGATAGTGTATTCTCGCGGTCCAAGATTTCCTTTCTTTGGTGGAAGTACTCGTCAGGTCCGTCTATTTTTCTGGCGTCGGCCTTATCGAGGGCAGTTTTCCGGCGCATCTTGAAGATGTTATCGATGACTACCTCGTGAGCTTCAATCATTTCCTGGGCCTTGTCCATGTCTGCTTGGTGTCTTTGGTGATGAGCGTGATGGCGTTGATGTCGAAGCTTCCGCAGCCTTTTGGAAGAGAGTCGTGTGATGGTCTTCGCATTGATGTCCCTACTAGCCTGACCATCCTTCTCGCCAGGTGCATCGTCCTTTTCAATGTTTGAGCACAGGCTGCCCATGAGACTATTGACAGAAGTGAATAAAGAGATTATTCTTTGACGTGGTCTTCTGGGTAAACTTTGAATGGCAGAAATGTGGCTACCAGGCAGTGAATCGGCGGTAAGGTACACAAGAAGACCAGGTTGATGTGAATTTGTCGGGATGTTCTATCGCCGTGTTTCGAAGATCCACGATCGCAGGGAGACGAAAGTCAATTTAATTGAATGCGCAAAGCTCCTCGGCAACTCTGGCGATCATCATGGGCCCGTTTTCAATGTCCTTTATTGGAACCTGGGAACTTGGGAAGTGGAAAATGTCCTACCCTGGGTGAGGTAGTGCGATGACAAGCAATGTAGGAAGAAGGTACGTTTGTTTGCGGTACCAACAAGCGCCCGGCTGTACCTTTAGCTTGGAGGTCTCATGCTTGGCCTCAGGTAAGCGCAGCTTTCATGTCAAGCAAGGCGTGAGGAGGTAAGGAAAGTGACATGCGGCGGTTTCCAGCTCAGCTGGAACCATTCAAAGGTGAGCAACAAGCGGTGCTCCCCTCTACGCCTAGATCCTGGACTAGGCAGTGGCAGGCTAGCAACGCTGCGACCCAGAGAGGCGGCACAAGGTAGATGGACGGAGGTAAAAGGTAGGTGAGCTGGGAATGAGTGTGAATGAGGTGGGCTGGGAGGACATGAGGTAAGGGTAGAATGAGGGGCAGGAGGGAGCTGCCTAGGTACCTTTCCAAAATGGACGAGAAAGTCGTACCCAATTTGGCTTAGCTCAACACCAAGCCACATGCGCAGTTCTTCTTCCGACTTGGCCAATGAATGGACCCTTCACAGGCTGACACGCAGGCTTTCTACCTTAGTTTCTACCTCCGCGAAGAAGCTGCCTCCCGATTCCCATCCTTCTTTCGCCTGCTTTTACCCATTTCACTTGGGGCTATTGGGAGACGGCAGGACCAGACTCTCGTTGTTTGGCCAGTCCTTTCTTCCCCTCTATCTGACAGTTTCGTTTGGCATGCGGGGCCTTCCAATTGGCTGTTTCCAACTTTCCGGTCAGGTACAGTTGTTGGAGCTCACGGGATTTCTAAATGCCTTGTCTCACGTGTCACGCACCAGAACCAACAAAGCACTTGCCCATTGCTGCGAACAGGCATTTTGGGAATGCGTCCCGTCATCTCTTACCTCCTCTAGGATCATACTTCACCGGATGAATCATTTTCACCATTGTACCCTTTCAACAAAGCCAACTTGCCTGACCCCTAAGCGAATACGGTGTTCGGGGCCTCTTACTCACTCAAGCTACCAGCTTACCCAAGGAATCGTAGGTACTTGGTCAACATCGTCAACATTGAACAACCCGCAATCTTGATATCTCAGACATGAGGCTGTCACGCCCACGCCTCACGCGACTCCTTCCAGAAGTCCACAATCGCAAGGGGTCATTCTCACATGGCAGCCACACCGTTGTAGATCTGCAAACGCCCCGATACGGGACCTGCTCGGCGCACGAGCCATTCCCACTATCCCAGAGAATCGGAATCTTCAACACATGCCCAGCACCCCTGTTGGGGTATGACAACGATTAATCCTCTTTGGACCGCGCCAACTTTATTTCAAGGCAGCAAGGCTGTATGGTGCTTCATCGTTGGCTCCCGCTAGTACGGAGCAGACCTTCGTCCATCTACGGACAGCATACCACCAGGTACGGAGTATGATCCGGCCAGATTCGGAGGCCCCGACAACGGTCACCCTCACGGTCTCATCTTACCTTACCCGCCGCCTTTACCCCCCGGCAGCGGTGGCTTGCACCAACAAGCACCTACCCTTGATCACTCCACGCATGGTTTAAGCCTCAAGGACTTCACGTTGGAAATCCTGTGAGGCCACCTGCCTTTCTTTTGAAGTGTTCCCTCGTTATACTACGCCTCCCGGTAAAAGGGCGATCCTGCGTCACGCCGGTAACAAGCTTACACCCTTGTCAGTGGCCGGGTGAGACTGGCCTCAAGGACACCCAAGATGGGTCAGCATCGAGCGATCCTTCTTATACAATTTTCTTGTGGCTTAGATCACTATCTGGTGTTTAGTCTTGGAAGTGAGTCGTCAAGTGATGGCCAACTTCACGCCTCGAAAACGAAGAGTGGCAATGACTTGGTACCGAAGGCGGGCGTATAGCCTCCTTGGAACACTGCCACGCACAACCGCAAACGGCGTCTGAACCTCACGAGTGGTTGCTGATGAACATGAGCGACAAAAAATTGCTCATGACTGTATCTCACTTGGGATCTAACCGCAGAAATCTGTACGTGAGATGCCTTTTTCTGTTTCCTGTTTCCTGGCCTAGCCTGAGACGAAGTGTCGTTACAGGTAACCCAACGTCCCAAAATACGCAGCCATACATCGAATAAGATCTTGGAAAACGGCCCCGAGCTGTAATTGTTGGGTTGAATAGTGACGAAGATGCCTTGAATCAACACCCTCAACAGGAAGGTCGTGGAACGAAGTGTACTTGGCCGTGTTGACGCCAGCGGGGTGCTCGGATACAGACAACACTTCCTGCTTCCCATTGTTCAAAGACCTGCTCCTGTTGAACAATACGAGAACCGGACTATCGGCTCACGGCACCACAATTTGACCGAGCTGCGCAACTTCAGTATCCTTACTCCTTCGCTGCTCCCCTATAATACGACGTGTGAAGCTTCCCAAGCCCGGAATTCCCGGGTGGAGTCAAATCGTTCAAAGTGGACAAGGGGCTTCGCATCTACCGATTGACAGGGAACTTCGGGAATTCCGCCCAGATGTACGTCAAATGCCATCTGAGACCCATACTCGAGTGGAATACACCTCCTTCTAATCATCGGGATACATACGTACGCCAACCCACATGCCACCTCCGTTATAGTGCCCGGTTCCATTCGGTCTCTCCTTCGGGGCTTCCATTTGTCGATGCTATCTTCAGCTCATCTTCGCCCTGGTTTGCGTCATGCATGCAAGATACCCGCGATCCCTGGCGCTTGTTTCTTCAAATGGGATGAACAGCGGGCCGAATGGGTTCGAGATGGAGCCATTCTAGATCGAAGAAGAAGGCCGTTTCCACGTTAACACCACAAGAAACATGTTAGTCAGCGGACAAGCGGAGCATGTAGCTCGACCTGGAAGCTCGGTGTCCCTGTTCAGATCAGGAACAAGCAATGACATGCGGCAAGGGTTACACTGGGTGAAAATCCCGCGATGGGGTCTTCCTAAGGGGGCAACGGCTCGGACACCGAGCGAGGATCTTCATGCCCGGCCGTAACGTTGGTTCGTCTGCTCTCATGCTGCTATAAGTTCCCAATGTTTCCCCTGACGTGATTATGTTTCTTCCTCGTTCGTCCATCCTGTCTGTGTGCCACCTTGGAACTCGCCGTTAAACAAACTTGTAAACAAAAGTTCAAGTTCAACAATTCGCCAATATGAGATTCTCAACGCTCGCAGCCGGCCTCCCCCTCGTGGCGGCAGCTCCTCAGGGTCACTCCTTCAAGCAGCAGGCCAACAGCACCGGAAAGAGCCTCATCCTCGACCAGGCCCCCGAGACGTCCCAGCCCTACGCCCTCCGCAAGGGCTCCGGCCGCGCCGTCGCCGTCGGCGAGCAGGTCTACCGCTTCTCCGTCACGGGCAACTCCTCCGCCGGCGCCTTCACCCTGATGCAGACCAACGCCCCGGACTCGTCCGACCTGGGCGTCCTCCCCCACATCCACAAGGCCCACTACGAGAACTTCTACTGCACAAAGGGCCAAATCCAGCTCTGGGCAAAGACCAACAGCTCCGGCGAGCAGGCCCGCGTCCTCACCCCGGGCGACTACGGCGCCGTGCCCCACAACACGGTCCACACCTTCCAGATCACCGACCCGGACACCCAGCTCACGGGCGTCATCCAACCCGGCGGCTTCGAGGAGCTCTTCATCGCCATCGCAAACTCGGACTTTGTCTCCCCCACGGGCTCCGAGTTCGTCCCCGCCGCCTCCAACGGCTCCTCCTCTGGCTCCGACCCGGCCCTCATCTCCGCCCTCGAGGCCTTTGACGTCTACGCCCAACTCGACTTCAACCCCCGCCGCGACCTCGTCAACGGCAGCGCTGGTGGCGCAAACACATGGCACACGGCCGCCAACACCCTCGCGCCCGACGCCGTCACCCCCAATTTTGTCGCCAAAAACCGCGGACCAAAGTACCTCAACGCCGACGGCGGCGTCTACCACCTCGTCGCCCCCTTCGCGACGGCCAACCAGACGGCAAGCAACTTCACCATGGGCACCGTCACCCTGAGCCCCCTGCTCTCCAACCAGACCGCCACCAAGGCGAACCTCGGCCAGCCCCTGGCCTTCCAGCTCGAGGAGGGCAGCCTCGAGGTCGCCGTCGAGGGGTACGACGCCGTCACGCTGATCCAGGGCGACGTCGTCTTCGTCCCGGCTAACGTTGCCTTCACCTACGCCGCCTCGTCCGCCTTTACAAAGTTCCTGTACGTCAGCGGCGGCGGTGACGGCTTCGACTACCAGCTCCTTCAGCGCGCTGTCCCTTGGTCGTATGCCACGTACCCCATCGACGCCGGATTCACTGTGCAGTAAAAGAGGGTGATGTTGCTTTGGGGCAGAGACAGGGTGACAGAGGCTTAGCCTCTGCTCCAGGAACTTTTACAGTACTTCCAAACGTTGTACATTTTTTCCAGAGATATTGTACATGAAATCCTCCTCGCAGAAACAGTTTTTCTACTTTTCTAGTGTAAATATGTTCTCCTGCTCGTTATACCCCCGGGATGAGCAGCCCACAAGCCGCATGAGGCCGACGGCGTCAAGACTCCCGAGGTACCATATGCATTTTCTATCAGATAGTAACAACATTACATCCTTTTGGTAATCTAGTCCAGGTCACTTTGGTGGCAGTGTTTCCCCCCCTTTCGTGATGATGAGATGGTTCATGGAGGTTTGCTAGTCATGAAGCTAGTTACACCGCCTCTGAGTCGAGTAGAAACACTTGGTACGGTGTTTTGAACTGCCGAGGAGGGGTCTGTGAGATGGGTCCAGCGCAAAGCTTGGAAACCCGCCTCGTATGAACAATTCACACTCACGTCCCCTCGCTAGGTATGGTCATATTCCACGTCCCGCCCGGCGAAGCAGTGGTTCCTACCGGGCTAACTTTGACCTCGTGTAAGAGGTCAGCGGGGAATCATAACACCAATTTCCCCGCGAGGCTTTCCACCGAGGCGAACTTCCATCGCAGCGAAATCTCGCAAATCTTCATAACGGTATTCTACTCGGACCGATCACGTAACCCAAATCACTCAACCTTGCGAGTAGCGGATTCTGCGACGAATGATTGTCTAGGGCATTGAGCAAGGCAGACTATTGCCTATACCTCGCCGCAAAGGAAGATGGATTTTCCCCATCTCGAACAAGGACATACCGTCCTCGAAGGAAAACCGAAAAGTTCCATGGTTTGCAAAGATTAATACCAACGCTAATACCATGTGTTTTTGGCAATGGTGGTTCTTTCTTTACCCAGGGAAAGGGGGGCGGGCGAACTTTTGGGAAAAGGGGCTTGGGTGGGTGCACAGCCACTGCCCCGTGGAGTTGTCGACTTGACTAGACTCAGTTCCACTTCGGTCCAGGCAGACGTTAGATCTAGTTATATTGATGAAGCGTATTAGAGTGTTTTCGATTTGCTGTCGAGATAATTTGCTAACTTGATAGTGGTGTGGTCAATATCGCCATCGGGGGGGTTCGAACTTGGAAGTGTCCCATGACATCACAGTAGGCTGGGAAGAAGCCCAAGTTTAGCTTCACTCTTTTTCTTGATATTTCTCCCCTTCGTCTTGGAAATTGACTATAACATGATTTTTCAGGGCGGTTCACAATGAGGATCGCGAAGGAATTGCATTTTCAGCGGTCAGGCATCTCGATGGAATCTTCAGATAACCAACCAACTTGGAACTTTTGTTGGCTTCGTGTATTTTCCAGCTCATCTCACCTAGCATGAAAGCTGCAGAATATCAGAGGATGGACTATTGATTTCTCTATTGCCAAGTTTTCGAATGAATCACTTACAAAACTGAAAAAGGTCAAAAAGGAAAGGAAGGAAAGGGCTGGTGATCACTTACGCTAGAATTCACGCCCCTGTCCGGACTCGAACAGCGCGCCCCTCGGACCAGCACGGCTTCATTGGAGTATTTGTTTTGGCTTCTCTGCGTCAGAGTATAAACCACCCGGCCAATTGGCCGGATGGGTGCTGGTGACAGAAACGGATGATTAGACTCCTTATGTACCAGAGGCAGGTTAAGGAAGGAGGGACGTAGAGGTTAGGAAGGAGCGAGGCGGTAAGCACCTACCATAGCATTCACCGTTGATTCAAAGACTTGTTCATATTCGTTTCGTAGATAATTCTACGCGTTCATCACTTTTGGCTGTGCAGAAGGTTCTCCTGAAGGCTCATGAAGAAACCTCGAGGAGAATATCGTAGGTTCACTCTCTCAAAGCTTCATACGGCAGCATTGCTTGTTTAACTTATTCTCGAACTTGTTCAAGAACATGGTATAACATCTTCTATATCTTCTCCTTGTGATATGTAGAGCTCATTGTCTTTCTATCGGTCGAGTGCTCGGTGCCTTTGCCTTAGACGCGAGGATGGGAGGAATGTAGTTCTTGTGAATTACTTTGTACCTCCTCTTACTGAGTCGATAATACTAGCACCCTAAGATAGTATCATTTAATTACAGAAGAGATCATGATGTTGCTAGCCATGTTCGTGGCGCCCTCTTTCTTACGTATGCAGCAAACGTTAAATGGGCGTGATACCTGGGGCCCTACTCCAAGTATATATATCAGTTTAGACGAGAGCCTAGGAAAAGTGAACCTCATAACTGTATGTTGTAGGTCCCGAATCTATACAGTTGCATTCTTCTGTGTGGATTGACCGTGATATTTGCCAAATTCTTCACTACTTATGGTCAAAAGACGAATCAGCATACGCAAATCTTCAACAATTTCTGAAAACACAACTTCGACTTGACGGTCGGACCAGGCGAATGACAAGGAAGAACAGCTTCTCCCAGTCGGAACGTAAGAAGGAAACGAAAAGACAGCCTGGAGGGCTCCAGGCGCCCGCATCGCTCCGGTCAGCTTCCCCGCCCCGGAAAGACGAAAACAAATGTATGGCGTGACCCGATGCGTACCAGCGGCGCAGCCTCTGCACGCAACCTCGCATGTGTTCTCGCTCCAGAGGAATTGAGACCCGAGCCCGTCTCTGTCAAAATGAGTCTCCATGGTCACGAGGTATTGGCAAGTAACTCAGTGGCGGAGCACCTTAGTACGCCGGACAAAATATACAGATACGTTGCCGTGCTGTCTCATCACTACTATCCTTCTCATCATCCCATTCCAAACTTCTCGAAGTGTATCACCAAACGTCTAAACAGAGATTTAGTAAGAGAAAGCAGTACTGGTAATCATGGAAGTCGATTAGTAGTAGCAGCAGCAATGATCTATCACCTTCCGCAACTGCGCCATATGACATTCATGCTAGGACGAGAGCCGGCCACATCTCCGGCCCATTCTCTCTCGCCACTACCATTCTCACCGATTGTCATGCTTGTCAGAACGCTGCTCTCTCGACCATTTTATCCACTTCATGTACTAGTTACTGCTTATCATACTGGGCGTATTGGGCGGCTGATGGTTGTGTACCCCCTTGATAGGGTAGAGAGATGTAAAGCTTGGGAGATGGTCTCTCGAGGTTCCAACGACGAAGAGCGTTCCCTTGGAAGCATTTAAGAAAAGTGTGCTGGTGCACTGTAACATTCACAAAGACGACAAAAGCACATGACATATGGTGTAACAAAATGTTTGATGCTTATTCGATACGACGCAATTGCTCAATCCAGAAAGCTGGCTAGTAACAAGGAAACTTTTCGATACGACCGTAGCCCTGTTATGTACAAAGAAAGATGCCAAACAGATGTCTAGTACACAAGACGCAAAAAAACTAGTACACCTCGAGGACGTAGCGGCCATCCTCCTTGAGCTTCTCAATCTCGTTGCGGGCATTGACCTTCTTGCCGCTCATCTTGGCCTCGACGTTGATGGCCTCCATCAGCACGTCCGTCACGTCGGGGACAGGCCACGTGGGACCGCACAGGTAGAAGCTGCCCTCGTCGCGGATGTACGACTGCACGACGTCGCGCATGGACTCGCGCATGCGGTCCTGGATGTAAATCTTGCGCGGCTGGTCGCGCGAGAAGGCGGCGCCGAGGTGCGTGATGACGCCGGCGTCGACGTAGGCCTCCCACTCCTCGCCGTACAGGTACTCCTCGCGCTGGTGGCGGGAGCCGAGGTACAGCAGAATGGAGCCGATCTCCTCGCCGCGGGCCTTTTGCAGGGCGCGGTACTGGACGAAGGCGCGGAAGGGCGCCAGACCGGTGCCGAGGCCGGCCATGATGAGGGGCGCCTTGGAGGAGGTCGGGAGCTTCATGACGGAGGGCTTCACGGAGGCGACGACGGTGGCGCCGACGGGGAGGGCGGAGAGGTAGCGGGTGGCGTGGCCGAAGCGGTTGCGGCCGCGGGGGTCGACCCAGTCGACGACGACGATCATGAGGGCGACCGAGGTCGGGGTCACGGCCTGGGCGGAGGCGATGGAGTACTCGCGGCGCTTGAGCGGGGCGATGATGCGGACGAGGTCGTGGAAGGACGGGCGGGCCGAGGGGAACTCCTGGAGGATGTCGACGTAGGTGACGAAGTCGACCTCGGAGCGCTGCTTGAAGTCGGCGGCGCCATCGGCACCGCCGAGGCTGGCGAGAACGGCCTTTTCGCGCTCGTCGGCGGCGAACTCGGACAGGGCCTCGTAGAAGCGCTTGGGGGGCTTGCCGAGGACGTCAATGTTCTGCTTGAGGGACTGGTAGACGGTGCGGGTCTCGAAGGCGGCGTTATCCTCGCGAGCGGGCACCTGGACGAGGGCCTCCGGGTCGAGGCCGTACCACTTGATGAAGGCGCTGACCTCCTCGTGGTCGTTCTCGGCGTGGATGCCGAGGGCCTCGCCAATGTCGTAGGTGAGACCAGAGTCGCCGAGGTCGAACTCGATGTGGAAGATGTTGCGGTCGTAGTTGCCCGGAGTGAGGCGGCGGTTCTCCTTGACGGTGATGGTGTGGGTCTTGACGGGCAGCTCCGGGCGCAGGGCGCTCTCGGTGCCGTAGGCCTCCTTGAAGGCGAGACCCTTGGCCGCGGCCTGCCAGTCGACGAGCTGGGAGGTCTCCTCGACCTCCTCCTTGTCGAAGCCGACAAAGCTGTTGGGCTTGATAGTAGCGGGCAGGGGGCTGACGACGACGTCCTCGGGGAGCTCGGCCCAGGCGGACTGAGACTCGACCTTACGCAGGGCCTGGCCGAGGGCCTCCTGGGTCTCGGCGAGGGTGCTGGAGAAGCCCTCGGGGAGGGCAATCTTGGCGACCTCCTCAGCGGTGATGTCGGAGCGGGCGATCTGGAGGAAGGCAAACTCCAAGAGGACCTTGACAGCCTGGGACTCCTTCTCGGCAAAAGCGGAGGCGTCCAGGATGTAGAGCTCGATGGACTTATCCTGGATCTGCTTGCGCACGACAGGGGAGAGGCGCTTCTCGATGTCCTCCTCCTTGAAGCTGGGGAGGTTCAGGAGAAGCTTGCCACCGGCCTTGACGCTCTTGATGATATCGAGGTCCTTGAGGAGCTTCTCCTCGCCGACGGCAACGACATCGGCCTCCTCAACGGCGTAGGGCGCCTCAATGGCCTTCTTGGAGCTGCGGATATCGGTGCGGACGATACCACCCTGGAGCAGGTTGTCGAACGACTCGTGGACGTACACGTTGCTGGTAGACTCGCGGGAGAGCAAGTTGCTGACAACAGCGGGGGAGTCAACGGCGACAGAGTTGTCAACGTCCCAGAAGGTGTACTGGTGCGCCTGAACCAAGGCGGGGAAGGGCTTGGACTCGGCCTCGGCGCTGAGGAGCTTGCCAAAGATGTCGGCGACGGTCTGGGGCGTCAGGGCCTCCGAGGCGGAGTACTTGACGTCCGAGACGGTGGGGTCCTGGCGCCACTTTCCAGAGAAGGACACGGAGGTCAGAACGTCGGTGTAGAGGGCAGACTGCAGGGAGGCGTCGTTGACGGAGAGCTCGTCCTTGACCTGGCCCAGGACGGAGATGGACCTGGCGGAGGCCGGGATGCTGGCGAGGAAGGCCTCCTCGACAAAAGGGCGGTACACGCGGACGTTGATGGCGCCGACCTTTGCGCCGTCGGCGGCGAGGCGGGTGACGACCTGCTTGGCGAGCTGGGTCTCGGCGCTGCCAAAGACGACGAGGACGGCTTCGGCCTGGTCGTGTCCGTGGTACTCGAACAGGTTGTAGGCGGTGCCGAGCTCGTTGTTGAAGAGTCTGAGGAGCTCAACGACCTTGCCGGCGTCGTCGAGTCTCTTGTTCAGGGACTGGACCTCGCTGGAGATCTTCTTGTAGGTCTCGGCGACGCCCTTCTTGTTGAGAGCGTCCGAGGCCTTGAGGGTCTGCTTAGCGAGCTTGACGCCGTCCTCGACTCCCAGGTTGGGGGTGAGGGCGGTCATGAGAGTGGCCAGGAGCGCGGTGTGCTGGCTCTCGTGGTCCTCGGTGGGGTCGAGGTGCTTATTGAAGACGTCCAACAGGCCGGCGACCTTGGAAGAGATCGCGGCCCTCTCAGAGACACCAGTGGACTCGGAAGTGATGTTGTTGTAGAGGTCAGCGATGCCGCTCTGGCTGAGGGCGTCAACGACGCGAGAGGTCTCGCGGGCGAGTCTGACACCATCGTAGATGTGCAGCGTGGGCATCAGGGCGGCCATGAGGGTGGCGAAGAGGGCCATGTGCTGAGTTTCGTAGGCGCTGGAGCTGGCAACCAAGCCGAGGCCAAGGTCCTCGGCGGTGCGCAGCGCGGTGTCGTAGTCGGAGACGAGGCCGTTCGCGGCATCGTAGTCGAGAGCTGCGACGTGGGCGACGAAGGGGGAGGCGACGCCGTACAACAGGCTCAGCTGGTCCAATGCGCCGCGGAGGTTCTTCAAGCTCAGCGTAGGAGCGAGCAGGGTCTGGGGGAGGTGTCTCTTGGCCAGATCAAAGTCGGGGCTGAAGATGTAGCCGAGGGCGAGGGCGCCGGCGCCGGTCCTGGTCTGGAGCTGGATGAGGTCGGTGGTCTCGCCGTGGATGTTGCGCTCTTGGGCCTCGGCCCATGCCTTTGCGGCGACGTCGAGGTCAAAGGTGGGAGCGGAGTAGGAGAAGATCTTGTCGGAGAGCAGGAAGGCGACCTGCTGGACGAGGAGCTGGGCCGTCACGTAGGTAGGACCGGAGATGGAGGAGAGGGCCACGGGCTGGCCAAAGGGAAGGGTGGAAGAGACCTTCTTCTGAGGGGCGGATGAGGGCGACGACTTCGCGTCAACGACGGCCGCAGAGCCCGTACTCTCTTGCTGCTTGAATTGCATCTTGGGAGGTTTTGGAGAGGACGAATTGGGAATAAGTACAGCAAAGAATATGTGATTAAAGATGGTCCAAAATACACGGAGGACCAGAAGACAGAGCCTCACCACTCGCAAGAGAATGGTTGCTACTGAGAGACAATTGGGACACTCAAGAGCAAGTTGTACAAGTCACTTGCGTCAACCTGAACGAGAGATGAGCTTCTTCGTTCTAGGAGGACCTTGAGGTTTGTAAGTGAGGAGAGGTAAAAAAGGAAGAGAGGTAGAAGTTCAAGAGATGTTCTCGTCTTAGGAGACTCCGAACAGGTTCCGAGCATATAAAAAAAAAGTGAGAGCAGGACCGGCAAAGGAGACCCTCTAGCCGGCACTCACCTTTCAAGCACGGTTAGCTAGCTAGCACCGGGAACCGAGAAGCGCACTCCATTGACTCCATTGCAGCAGGCAATAAGAGACGGGCATTTGTCAGGCATCTTGCTGTCTGGTGGCAGGCGCATTGCTGTCTGCTTTGCTGCTGCTGCTGCTGCTTGTTCGCGTGCGAAACTCGGCGTTTGGAAATTGTTGAAGCTTGGAGAATTGCGACTAGGGGACAATTGCGCCATCGCGCGCCAATGAGCGACCGGGACCCATCTGCAACGGCCCCACATTGCACCATTTCCGATCCACTCGACGTCCCTTCCCTCCACGTTCCCTGGGCCTACCGGTGCACCCAGGGCACCTCCGCTTACCAAATCCGCAATCTTTTGGTCTGGGCTCAGAATTGCGTGCTCGACCATCCGGAAATGCAAGCCTCTTTCGCCCCAGATTCTGACCATTTTACATTCATCGGTGGCGGGCACGCCTCATGCTTTCACTGCCCGTGTCATTGATTCAAGGCTGTCGGTCGGCCTGCCCGGCAATCGGCGGACGCGGTATCCGCTCGGTCACGGCATCGGCTTCCGCTCTCCGTCGTCACCATTCAACTACACCCCATACTGATACTCACAAACTCCCATAGTCAGTGCCCAATCATGTCGTTCGGTCCGTTTTGAAGGACAGATCACGATGTCGTTGTTATAACAACTCAAAAAAATGAGGTTGAAAGGAGCAATTGCTTGAATGATTGGTCCAGATGCTATTCAGCTGCTCTGTTGCTGGAACCTTATACCTGTCGTCCCATATGACCACTCCTGTTCGCCGTTTCCGGACAGTCTCCACTTCAATTGCTGTCCGTCCTTTACAAAGGGAGACCGACATCTTCGCCATATTCTTGTCCCAAGGTAGATGCCTAACCCATTTTTAGATGTAGATGTTGAAGTTGTGGGATAACCATATTTCTCGGGTTATTTTTGTCTTTTGAGTTGGTAAGATCTAATTTGGGGCTTCGCATGAGATTATCGTTTTTGCGTGTGGCGTGTAATTCTCGACCAATTTGGTCTCGCTTGACATCAATATGCACAGCAGACCAATGCTGTTCTGCAAAGAGATCGATCATAGGGATTTGAGACTCAAATTGTGAAGGGCATCTCATAGTATTTGTAACTTTTCTTCAATGACCATCAACAATCCTCTTTTCTATTCAGCACATAGGTATCCTCTAGTAAACAAAAAAAGTGGTAATACACGGCACAACCGCCATACCCTCCCTACTCAATCTTCTTCGCCCGGAACCCAAGCCACGGCACCTTACTCCTCAACGCCAACGAACTCAGCACGACACTGATACTAGACAGCGCCATCGCGAGACTGGCCCACACAGGATCCAGCCGCACGTGCTGCCGCCCGCCGTTCACGACAATCGGGTACAAACACCCGGCGGCAATGGGGATCGCCAGCAGGTTGTAGATGACAGCCCACCCGAAATTGACCTTAATCCTCCTGAACACGGTCCGGCTGAGCGCGAGCAGCGTCACCACGGCCCGTAGGTCGCTCGTCACCAGCACGAAATCCGCGCTCGAGATAGCCACGTCGCTGCCGCTGCCGATGGCGATGCCCACGTCTGCCTTGGTCAGCGCCGGCGAGTCGTTGATGCCATCGCCCACCATGGCCACCATGGCGCGCTTTCCCGTGTGCTCGTCGCCCCCGCCCCCGGTTCCTGCCCGCGCCTTGAGAACCGATTGCAGGTAGGTGATCTTGTCCGCCTTTTCCCAGGGAAGCACCTCGGCGAGCACGTTGTCCGGGTCGATGCCCACCAGGTCCGCGACGGCCTTTGCGGTCACGATGTTGTCGCCCGAGAGCATCCAGACGCGGGTGCCTTGCTCGTGGAGGGCCTTAATGATACGGATTGCCTCAGGCCGGATGGGGTCGGCGATAGAAAGCGCCGCGACGAGGGTCCAGGGGTGGTCATCTGACGTTCTGGTAGAAGGAGTAGCAGTAGGTCTAGTAGCGACCAAGGCGACCGATTTAGCCTCGCTCTTCCATTTCTGCAGTTGAGACGTCACGCCTTCGTCAAAGTGGACAACGTGATCGCGCATCAGCGACTCGTTGCCGACAATCATGTCAAATGCCTCGGCGGGCTTCGCTCCGCGGTTCGTGGCCTTCATGCCCTTGCCTGGCAGTTCCTGGATGCTGTCGACGTCGACCCAGGCGTCCGTCTGCGAGGTGCAGTAGGAGACGATGGCTTTTGCCACAGGGTGGCTACTGTTCTCCTCAACCGCTCGCAAAGTGGCCAAAACCATGCCACGCTCGAGGCTGCTCCCCTCGAGGTAGAGTCCGGCGTCCGTGACCTTTGGCTCACCGCCGACGGTGAGCGTGCCCGTCTTGTCAAAGACAACTACGTCCACGTTGCTAGCCTTTTCAAACGCCTCGCCTCCTCCCTTGGCGAGAATTCCATGCTTGGCTGCGAGACCACCGCCGACAAAGATGGCTGTGGGAGCTGCGAGAGCGAGACCGCAGGGACAGGCGACGACGAAGACGGCAATGGCAAACTGAAGCGCAAAGCCAGCCCATCCGCCCTCTGAATCGAGGTAGTCTCGAGGAAGGACACCAGCGTAGCCGAGAATCAACCACGTGAAGAATGTGATCACGGCAATCAGGGTGATGATGGGGACAAAGTAGGCCGTCAGCACGTCGGCGACGCGCTCCATCGGCGCCCTCTTTGTCTGACCCTCTCGAACGATGGAGACGATCCGGTCCAGCATGGAGGCGCCCGCTGCACCTGTGATGCGTACCTGGATAGCGGAATCCTTGTTGACCGTACCTGCGTGGACCTCGTCGCCAGGTACCTTTTTGATGAGGCGGGACTCGCCTGTCAAGCTGGACTCGTCGAAGCTGCCTTCGCCCTGCACCACGATTCCATCTGCGGCGGGCGACGCACCGTGAGGCACGCGCACAACGTCTCCATACTCGAGCATGTCCACGCCAACAGTGGTGTCGGTGGTCTTACCAATGGAGTCCTTGGTGACGAGGATAGCCGTGGTAGGTCGCAGCTTGCCCAGCATCTCGACCGCGTCGCCAGTTTTCGACTTGCTGTACGATTCGATCAGACGGCCCAGGAGCAGGAAAAGGGTCAGGAAGACAACGGAATCAAAGTAAAACTGCGTGTCGTCAACCTTTGCAGGTCTGTTGATGGCGGCAGCAATCATCTGGCCAATAGAAGAAAGGTAGGCAATGGTTGTCCCGAGCGACATGAGCATATTCATGCTTCCAAACTTGTAGAATCGACGAAGGATGGGTGTCTTGCTGCCCTTGCGCCACAAGTTCCTAATCTCCTTGATAGCTCTGCTGTGGAAGACGTCGGCCCCAAAGAAGTAAACCGGCGTCGCGAGGACGAACAGTGCAATCTGGGCTCGGTTGATGCCCAGAGCCCATGGCTTCATGAGGTAGTGCTTGCCCTTGTCCGTGTCGGAGACAAGACTCATGTAGACAATACCAATGATGAAAGTCGGGATGGCGATGACCAACGTCAAGTAGACTCGTCTAAGGAGCTGCTGCTGGTGCTTTTGTGTAATGAGTTTTGAGCGCTCCTCGAGACTGGGCGGGTGGTAGATCGATGCCTTGAAGGCGGGATCGGCGGCATCGATGGCGGATAGGATTTGCCGAATGGTGAACGAAGGCGCGCTGGGCGTGTACTTGACGGTAACGAGTGGCTTCTCGTGAGTGGGTTTGGAAACAACCTTTAGCCGGTGTGTGAAGGATGTGAGAGAATGCGTAACTCGGCTGGGGCAATGTTGACAGTAGAGGCCCTTGATTGAGATCTGGACCGTCCTCTCTTGCGCGCCCTTATTCTCAGTCTTGACCTTTGATACGCTGTCTAGTGTTGCATCATAGCCCATATCTTCAATGGACTGAACAATGTCGTCTTGCTTGCCTTCAACGATAAAGTCAATGGTGGCGTTGTTAGCCACCAAGTTGACTGCAACGTTGGAGATGTAGTCCTTCTTATTCAGCTGTTCCGTGATGGTGTTGGCGCAGGAAGCGCAGGTCATGCCGCCAATCGCCACAGTTGCTCGCCATTTCTTTTCGTCGCTTTCGTCTCCGCTGAAGTCATCGCCAGGCTCTGCGTATTCCGTAACGCTGTCAAGACTGGCATCATAGCCCATGTCTTCAATGGCCTCCGCAACCTTTGACGCGTTGGACTTGTCTCTGATATCAACCGTGGCACTGTTGGTGACCAGGTTGACAGTGGCATTGTCGATCCACTCCTGCTTGTTGAGTTCCTCGCTGATAGTATTGACACAAGACGCGCAGGTCATACCACCGACAGAGAGTGTGACTCTCCATTTTGTGCCTCCTGAGGCCATTGCTGTGACACTGTCGAGACCATTGTAGAGCGAGCTGCGCACACTGTTGACGTGTGAGTTTAATAGGTCTGCGGTTGAAGCACCGCTATCCTCTGAATCACGGCATTGCTTGCAGTTGAGCAGGTGGGCTTCCCGCTGGGCCTCGGGTGAATCAGAAGACCACTTCGGAGCGAAGGAGAGCAGGCCATCGAGGGCGCCGCCGCTGTGAGCGCCAGCGTTGATGTCCATGACACCAGAATCAGGCTGGGTGAAGGTGATGGTGTCCATGTCGAATTCGGTGGCAGCCGT